CAGCTACCAGATAGCAGAAATTTTCAAAACAAAAACGGTTTACGCAAATATGACTGATGTAATGTGGTGTTTGGGTTTTGTTTCATGTTCATGTTTTCATGTCTTTTATTTTGTAATTGTTTCACCCTGTTAGCCTTGTGTATGTGTCATGTTCTGATTGGTTGTCCTAGTCATGTGTCTTGTTTCCCATTGGTTTGTTCTTGTCATGTGGTCAAGTCTGTTCATGCCTCGTCAAGTCTGTTCATGCCTCGTCAAGTCTGTTCTAGTCAAGTCAAGTCTCGGATTATTGTTTGGATTTCACCTGTAAATAAACTGCACTTGGGTTCACACTTCAACTCGCCTTCAGTGGATTGATCGTTACAACTGAGCGTTTCACAGACGTCCCATTTAAAACAAGCAGCTTTCTTTTGGTCAATGTGGCAAATTCACGTGACTAACTTTGAACACAGGAAATCTGCGTTTGCCCTCACACACGTGGATTCCTATTGAAAATTTCATAACGGGTTCAAAGTGTGAATGTATGGAAGCCCATTTCAGCCAAGGGATAAAAAATAATTTTTTTAAATCTCACAATTCTATTTTTTTCCCCTCACAATTCTGAGTTTATATCTCACAATTTGGACTTTGTTTCTCACAGTTCTGAGAAAAAAGTAAGAATTTCTTGTTTTCTTTTTATTTAAAAAAAAAATGGAACCTCTAACACTAGCGTTCTCTTTTCTTTTTCTATTCTATCTACTTCAGGAGTAGATAGAATAGAATGTGAATGTGAAATTGCCTATCACAGCTATGCTGATGATTCCCAGATTTACCAACTCATCTGTTTAGCTGTGCATTTATTGAATGAGCACTGTGCGATGTCCGAACTGATTGCACTATATTTTATGTATAATCGTTTTCTATTCTTAACCATTTTAAATTCATCTTAAACCTCTTAAATCAATTTATTTATCATTTTCAAAGTTTTTAAATTCCTTGTTTTATTGTTGTGATTATTTTTTTTCTTTTCTTTTATGTAAAGCACTTTGAATTACCATTGTGTATGAAATGTGCTATATAAATAAACCTTGCCTTACTTGTTTTCTTTTTATTTATTATAAAAAATGACCTTATAACACTAGTATTCTCTATTTGTTTACTATTCTGTCGACTTGTTTTCTTTTTATTTATTAAAAAAATTGACCCTAGCATTCTCTATTCTTTTTCTATTCTATCTACTATAAAAAAAAAACCTTGCTACGTGTATCGCGTTAGACTAACCGAGACTTGTCACAGCACTTTCATATTGTTGCTCTTTTGTTAGTTTTGATTGCTTCTATTGTCCTCATTTGTAAGTCACTTTGGATAAAAGCGTCTGCTAAATGACTAAATGTAAATGTAAAATTCTCAGTTTGTATCTCGCAATTCTGACTTTTTTTCAGAATTCTGAGTTTATATCTCACAATTCTGACATTTTTCTCCGAATTCTGAGTTTATATCCCAATTCTGACTTTTTTCTCAGAATTCTGAGTTTATATCTCATAATTATGACATTTTTCTCAGAATTCTGAGTTTATATATCACTTTTTTTTTTCATCTCACAATTCCAACCTTTTTTCTCTGAATTCTGACATAATTTATTTAATTTAATGTTTTATTTGTTAGGGACAGATACAATAAGATACGTAGACAACCGTGTCATCAGCATACATTTGAAGACTCGCATCAGGACACACTTCTGGAAGATCATTAATATAAATGCTAAAAAGAATCGGACCCAAAATTGTTCCCTGAGGAATTCCTATATCAATATTATGAGGAACTGACTTAAAATAATCAATATATAATAATCTCAGAATTGTGAGATTTAAACAAAAAAAAATTATAAAAAGTCAGAACTGCGGGATATAAAGTTGTAATTACCTTTTTAATTGTTTTTATTCTGTGGTGGAAACAAGCTTCCATTTGAATATGAATGACCAACAGCTGCTTGGTTTGAAAGTGACTTCTGTGTGAGCTGTGCTTCTTACATCACTACACTATTTGACAATATACAATAGACCTTTTTTGTCCATGAAATTTGGCTGAAATTACGATAATGTGACTGCACCTTTACACTGGAGGAGGGACTCAAGTCATATGTACTATCTATGTTTGAAAGGCACGTTTTTTCGTATTTTTCTGATGTATGCATCGATAAGCTTAGCAACAATAGCCTTAACTCCAATATAATACTCGGATGAAATAGCAGGGAAGCATGATGACACCATAGCCATAATTTCAATTAAGAAACCAAATTGTAAATTAGCAAGGTTATAGAAGAACGAAAGTACATCAACAATGCTTGTGTGACTCTGGAGTGAACTATTAATTGAAGAGTTAATTGTTTGGCTGCTGTCTAATAACCAGCACTGAAGCACAGGAAGGTGACTGTGCTGAGCAGCTGGATTATTTCACTGTTTCCACAGGATTTTCCCATCATTGTTTTCCTCCGGTTTGCTCCTGCACTAGTTTGGCCGCATGAGCGATTGCAGCACTGTTTTTATGATGTTTTTGTTTTGTTGCACCATTGTTCATAACTATTTCGTCAGGCCAATAACACAACAGAAACTCTGATGAGCTGACTACAAACTAGACATCATCCAGATTTGTCTCTCATTTCTCAATATGCTTTATGGGGCTACTCTGGCGCCGATGAAAATTATATCAGATAAACAAGTTTAACGTCAGGTCATGTAAATCTATTAGCAAAGAGATTTACATCTATTTACATCTAGACTTTTTCATTGCAACGAAAGATGAAATCCACAATACTTGTGTGCATGTAATGTCAGTAAAAACTTTTATAATGCTCCAAAAGATTTCTATTTCATATAAATTCGGTACTTTTGAACTTTCTATTCATCAAAAAATCCAGAAAAAAATGTATCACAGTTTCCATAAAAATATTAAGCAGCACAGCTGTTTTAACATTGATAACATAAAAAGTTTCTCCAGCATCAAATCAGCATTTTAGAATGATTTCTGAAGGATCATGTGACACTGAAGACTGAAGTAATGATGCTGAAAATTCAGCTTTACCATCATATGAATAAATTACATTTTAAAATATATTAAAATAAAAAACAGCTCTTTTAAATTGTAAAAAAATTCACAATATTACTGTTTTTACTGTATTTATGATAAAAAAACAGTAGTGTACTGACTGTACCTGTAGGAAAGAAAAATCAGTTAATTCCCTTGATATCAACGAGATTAATTGCCGTCTCAATTTTTTATATTTTCCTGAGAACCCAAATATTGTTTTTCCAAGAATAAATAATCTATGCTATCAGGAGCTGTGTGATTTATTTCTATTTTTATCTCTCATTGGCAAGTTATTTAAAAATGTTTGCATGATTCAGGAGTTGATACTTAAACAACATAATTGGATAATTTCTCCTGCAAGACCAACATTTCCTCTGAAATAAGAATAAGCCAAATTAATTACAAACTGCACCAGAGGGAACTATTGTGAGCTTTCAGTGAATCATTCAGTAGTGAATCATACAGTGCAGTGCTGACCTTCTTCCTGATCCCATCAAATCATCCAAAGTCATGTATATGTAAGAAAAGTCTCCACTGGTTCGGATTTTATGAATCTAGCAGAAAAAGGGTGTTGAAACAACAGGTCACACTATAGGTCTGCAGACCTCCTATGGATCAAAGGAGGCTCTTTTGTTTGAGGACTATACAGTAAGATGTCAGTTTTCAAGTTTCCATAGAAATGGTCTGACATATTTCTAATGCATTTAGATTAACCGAATCCTCTGTAATGAAGCAATGCCCCCCAGTGATCAAGCTTCGCTGGAGGGCCCTAAACTCAAATCTGAAGTATACTTAAAAACAGAGAAAAGTTAAAATAGTTTTATAAATTATAGAAGATGCTATTTTCTTCTCCAGCAGAGTTACAATGTCAGCATCTTCCTAATTTAAGTGGCCTTTGATGTGTTTCTAGAATAAATAAACCGCTCTGTTTCTGACACAGAGAGGAACAATTCCCTCTGCAAAAACTATAGTTCAGGCTGTAACCTGTCACATGGTTTCCTGGGCAATAGAGCAGGGTCTCACTATTATGTTGCTCTCCGGACATCTTCCTTTCCATGTCGTTCTCTGTGAGGAAAATCACAATGCATGACAATACATGCATGAGCTATAATGGATCATTTAAGCACACAAAGACTGACTCACATGCATCCATTCAAACCATTTTAGTGCAAACATTTATACAGTGAATCTGGATATAATGTTATGCTGCCACCATGTGTCAGATCTCTACAGTATGCAAACCTGGAAGAACCACTTACATAAGCCATCTTTTTTTTTTTTAAATGTATTAATTCAAAATTAATAAATAATGGCATAAATTAAAGAAAAAATATTAATAATAGCCAAATGCAATAGTTAATTAAAGTATTGTATATTAAAAGAATTTGGGATTCATTTATTATTCATTTATTTATTTTACATTTAACAAAAGAATTAAATATAATATATATATATGTGTGTGTGTGTGTGTGTGTGTATATATATATTTTTTTTTAAATATGTACATTTATAGGTCGGTTTGAAAGGGATTTATTTCTTTCACATTTGTATTTATATTTCACATTTTTATTTATATTTCACACTTTTAATTATACATATTATTATACATATTTGTACTGTTTATCGATTGATAAATCCTTACAGTATCTGCATTTTATATATACAGTATATACAATATATATATATATATATATATATATATATATATATATCCCATCCGTCAGCATCATATTTATTCCAGCTGTTCTCCAAGCCAATATATGAATCCTACTATGGCCAAACCTAATCTCATGAATATTAATTACTTAATGCTGCCGTTTCGCGATTGCTATCCAATAGTGATGGACTCTCGCAGATGTTCCTCGGTGACCGTCCAATGGAGTAGGCTTGGCTAATGAATATTAATAAGCACGCCTTCTACATAGTACGATTTGCGATTTGGCGTTCCGAAAGCGTTCGGGATGACGAGCAGCGCCAGGTACAAGAGCAGGGCGGTGAAATCAGGTAAGACACGAGGTGTTAACGGTAGGTGACTGAAATAACATTATGATTTAATAACGGAAATGTAATTTGTCTGTTTGCATCAATCGCTCTGGATTTCTTAACGCCGCGTCTGCATCCTTCACCTGCTGCGGGCGTCTCGCATCACACAACAGAGGATGCAGAGGTAAGCCGACTTTTAAGTCTGCAATCATCAATTTAAATAATAATGTGCTGCGTATCTATGTGCTTGCCATAGGTTGATTCACATCTGTGCGCGTGCTGCATATTTTTCTGGGACAGTGGGTTGGAATGCTATGAATAGAGCCATGGGGCTCTTATGACGGTCCTGCCTCACTCACAGCTTCTATCTACATCTGTTTGTTTGGGAGAGTAACAATGAACACCAAAATATTGTATTCTGTATATTTGGTCTGACATTTAAGGGTTGCAAATATCCATCAAATTCATGGATGCTGTAAATTTTCAGAAATGCATGAAACTAATCCTCACTGCCTGCTTTCAGTGTCCCACATTTCATCACAATCTCTGTTTGACCTCACTGTAAAGCAGCAGGAGAACTGCATGCATTGCATCATTTGAGGACAATGAGAAAGATGCGGATACCATCAGCCACTAGCCCTAACGTGTTCATTAAAATTAACTGAATCTAATAACATAATTAATTTTAACTATATGTGTGAATCTCAAAGACTAGTCATACTTCGCCCCAGAGTTAAATAGAAATTAAATTGTATTTTGCACAAAAAAATGTATTATGTTTGTATTGCAATTAAGATTATTTGCATTGTGACACCTTTTTCTTTATGCGTTACTATAATAAGAATTAGGGGAGAAATATGACAAAATGTTATTGAAATAATGTCACAATGCAAAAATCTTAATAGTCCCCAAATATAGGGCTCATTGGCTTTATGCAAAATATAATTTCATATATTTTTGTGATGAAATTCACCCATACAGTAGTGTGATTTCTTATTTTTTTGCATGTTTGTCACACTTTAATGTTTCTGGCTAGAGAAATTGAACTCAGGTGTGATAAACCACAGTTTTAACAGGGGGGCAAACACTTCTTCACACAGGGCCATGTAGTTTTGGATTTTGTTTTCCCTTAATAATAAAAACCTTCATTTAAAAACTGCAAGTTGTGTTTACTTGTGCTATCTTTGACTAATATTTAAATTTGTTTGATGATCTGAAACATTAAATTGTGACAAACATGCAAAAAAATAAGAAATCAGGAAGGGGGCCAACACTTTTTCACACCACTGTATAGTGCTTTTAAATTATAAATATCCTATTATAGACATATTTTACATTCTTTAATGAGATGTCACACTGTTTTGCAATATTTCTATGATTACATATTCCTCTTCAAATAAAAAAAAAAACCATGATAAATGTGCACTTCATGTGGTCTGCTCTGTGCACTGGCTTAGAAAACTTCTAAATGTGCACTTGGCTCTCCATATGTCCACCCGAGGGTGAACTATCAGTCAATCTGGATGACTGATGAAATAACACTAATGTCTCTGTCTGCTAGGACACGTTCAATTCATTTCTTGTCTTGTTTCTCGGTGAACGCCCACTAATACATGCACATGGCTTCCAGTGACTGTTGCCAGCTGTGTGTGAAAGCAAAATCCAATATCCATGCCTTTAAGTGAGGATAAACCTCTCCCCCTCAGCCAGATTCCCAGACAGGCCAAACAATCCTGGAGATGAAGCCAAGCAGGAGAATGTATTGTGCGAAAACAGATTTGAAGATTTTGACCTTCACTTTTTGATCCGAAATTGCTATTTTGTAATATAATACAATGCTTTCTCAAAAGCAAACTCTACTAGTTAGTCTAATTGTATTTGCGTTTCATACAAACAGATTCTGCATGGTATGTTAAACAAATGTGCATACTCTGCTGCTCTTTAAGATGCATCGGACCAATAAACAGAGCTAATTTTGCATATTTGTGATGCAAACCAAGCATGATGATTCTATATGACAGTAGAAGGGATTTATATAATAGGATAACTTATGTAATATTGTAAATATGGGCTGTGAGGCCTTCGGCATTGGCTGCACCCACACAGAGTCTCTAAACACAATGAAACATGGCAGGAATTCTGGGATTGCCCTAGTAAAGAAGTGAGTGTGGCATACATCAGGCTGGCTGTGTAGGTTGGGGGTTGGGCGCTTGGATTCATCTTTATCCCACAGCTATCACATGATTTGCTTTGCTGATGTCCATTTTTGCATACTGTACAGTTGTTTTGATATGGAAATTAATGTGGTAGTATTAGCATTGCACTATTAAATGATGTCATTATATTTCATTCTTTTAGGAAAAAGAGTACGTTGGCTTTGCCACCCTCCCAAACCAGGTTCACAGGAAGTCGGTAAAAAAAGGCTTCGATTTCACACTCATGGTGGCAGGTGAGTTTCTTATCACCAATGTTGTTATTGTTAAATATAACTAATATTAAAACTTTTAAATATTGTATTCCTTAAAGTGATAGTCCAGCCAAAAATGAAAATGTTATCATCATTTACTCATGTTGTCCCATGACATTCTATATGTGTTCATGACTTTCTGTCTTCCGTGGAACACAAAAGAAGATCTTTTGAAGAATGTTGGTGACCAAACAGTTTTGGTTCCCATTGATTAATTCTATTCTATCCAATTTAACTGAAATAAAATGAAATAAAATAGAAATATGAATAGAAATAGAAATCTTTTCATTTTAAAATATTTGTATATTTTAATATAAATATTAACTTAAAATAAAAAAACTTAAATGAAAATTAGAAACGTTCCCTTGGCAAGTAACTCAATTAAAATACATTTTTAAAAATAAAAATGACTAAAAATTAAACTGAAATAAATATAAATTAAACCTAAATAGAAACATAAAAAACGTAACAAAATTACTAAAACTTAAACTAAGATTAAAATTAAAACTGAAAATATAAAAATAAGACTCAAACTATTAATAAATACTATAATAGTATATAAAAATACTAAAATAACACTTCTTATCACCAAAAAAAGTATTATTGAGAAACTATTAGTGTTTATTAATATTTTTCTTTATATATATATATATATATATATATATATATTGCATTTTCCTTTAAAATTACAGTAATTTTGTTGTGTGTTTTTGTCATTTTTAGTGTTTTTTGTTTTTTATATGTATGTCCATATAGTTCTCTTTTTATAAATTTTTACTCCCGTTTTAGTTTTAATTGAGTACATCAAGTTAAACTAAATTAAAATGAGAAATGTTGCTGAAATTACAGTTGAAATAGCTGATTAAAAAGTTTTTATATTTATATATTATATTTATATATTTTTTATGAACATTTATTTTGTCAAGTTATGAAAATGTTTTTTTATTGGTTTTTATTTTAGTTTCGGTTTTAGTTTGATATAATTATAATAACCCTGTGAAGTAAAATGTCTTTTTGCCACTTTTAATGATTCATATAATTGAAAGAGGACAGATAAAGATGGGAGATTCAAATTTTCCTCGACAACATGAGCAAAAACTGCATTTCTGAATGTTTACCCTCCTTGTCTTTTAGGGGAGTCTGGTCTTGGAAAGTCCACCCTGATCAACAGCTTGTTCCTCACAGATTTGTACAAGGACAGGAAACTGCTGAACGCTGAAGGTATATTTCTGCTCCCATGCTTGCAGATTTACTGCAATTGAAATAATGTATCTAAATGACACATCTGTCCTTCCTGAAATATGTATTTGGTGTTTAGAGCGCATCAGTCAGACTGTGGAGATCATCAAACACACGGCTGACATCGAGGAGAAGGGTGTTAAACTGAAGCTGACTATTATAGACACACCAGGTTTTGGAGACGCTGTCAATAATACGGAGAGGTACATAGTTAGAGTTCACCTCAGATTTGTTAATTATAGGTAGATTTCTGCTAATCAGAATCTTTTGTCTCAACTGTCAGCTGGAAGGCCATTACTGACTATACTGACCAGCAGTTTGAACAGTATTTTCGGGATGAAAGCGGTTTGAACAGGAAGAACATCCAGGATAACCGTGTCCACTGCTGCTTGTACTTCATCCCTCCGTTTGGACATGGGTAATCCAACCCTGACTCTCTGTTAATATATACTGGATAATGTACAAAATAAAAATATGTGCTTACTGTACAAATACATTCAGATAAAGGCATTCCTGTTGCTCAAACAGTCGAGCAAGCTACTAGCAACACTAAGGTCATGGGTTCGATTCCTAGGGAATGCATCAACTAAAATCTATAAATAAATAAATAATATCTTAAATGCCAAATGCAGAAATAAAAATGTTAAATTTGGCAAAATAAAATAATTATTAAATAATTATTAAAATAATTAAAAATATATTATTAAATAATAATAAACAACAGACAAACAAAAATTATTTCTAGGTGAGTTCTACAGTTATTTGTTGATAGAGTACTTCAAACTCTATTATGAATGAGCAAAAAAAATCATATTGCTTCTTTTATTAAAATCAAAGATATTCTCCCATTCAAAAGTTTGGGGTCAGTAAGATTAATTTATAGAAACTAATACTTTTATTCAGCAACAATGCATTAAATTGATCAAAAGTGACAGTAAATATATTTATAATTGTTAAAATAAATGCTGTTCTTTTGAACTTTCTATTCATAAAAGAATCCTGAAAAATGATATCATGGTTTCCACAAAAAATATTAAGCAGCAAAAACTGTCAACATTGGCAATTATAAGAAATGTTTCTTGAGCAGCAAATCAGCATATTAGAATGATTTCTGAAGAATCATGTGACACTGAAGACTGGAGTAATGATGCTGAAAATTCAGCTTTGATCACAGGAATTAATTACATTTTAAAATTTATTGAGAAAATAGTTATTTTAAATTGTAATAATATTTCACAATATCACTTTTTTTACTGTATTTTTTAATCAAATAAATGCAGACTTGATGAGCAGAAGAGACTTCTTTAAAAAAAAACACACACAAAAAAAAAATCTTAAAGTTCCCAAACATTTAAATGGTAATATGAACTTCATTTATACATTAAACTCAATGAGCAAAAAATCTTATTGTCCATCATATGGCCTCTTTTATGAAAATTAGACTCTAAATGTCTGTTTTTTTGAAAGCAAAGTGAATAAAGTATCTCAGAGCGGATAAGCCCACTCGCTCTCTCTTCTCCCCACTCAGACTGCGGCCCGTGGACGTGGAGTTTATGAAAGCACTGCAAGACAAGGTGAACGTGGTTCCACTCATTTCCAAGGCTGACTGTCTGACGCCAGCGGAGATGAGGAAGATGAAGGACAGGGTAAAGTGGATCACCTCGACCTCAGTCTGTTTATACAGGCACACGCTCTGTTCACATTCACACGCACACCGCATCCTCGCTCAGTGGTGTCAGGGCTTCTGACGTAACCAATGTTTTTGATCCTTCTATTCAAGGTGAGGGAGGAGATCGAGAAGTTCGGAATCAAAGTGTACCAGTTCCCAGACTGTGATTCTGATGAGGACGAGGCGTTCAAGCAACAGGACCGAGAGCTAAAGGTCAGTATTATGACTCATAAATGGATGCTTGAGTACTTAATGACTCGAGACATGAAAACTGATGTTCGCTGTTCCATCCAAGGTTGATGTCTGGTTCATAGGGTCCACGCTAGATTAAAACTTTTATGAGTTTGACTAAGAATCAAAGTCTTTCATCCAAAACCAAGTGAGCTGCCTCCAGCAAAGGGCTTGAGGTTTGGTTGGTTGGTTAGTTTGATCCAGTTAGCCTCTGCTAACTACTCCTCTGGCACATTTTGCAGATAATTTAGCAAAATTATTAATAATAATAAAAACAGTCAAAGTAAAAATAAAATAAAATAAAAAAATAATAAATTTAAATATTCCACCAGGACAAGGGAATCCATCTTTGAAAAATGGATGTAAGCTCAACTTTTCCTGCAGAACTTGACTAAATAACTCATGTAAACTTTAAAAGCAAAATAAATAAATAAATAAAAATAAATGCATAACTAAATAAAATAAAATAAAAAATTTACATTAAATTTTAATTAAATAAAAAATATCTTCAAAAAAAAGAAAGAAAAAAGTCTGTAAACTCAACTCTGACTAATTAATGTACACTTTAAAAGCAAATAAAATAAAATAAAAAAGGAAAATAAACTATAAATAAAATCAAAACAAATATTTCACCTGAACAATGGAGTCTGTCTTCAAAAAATAGCTGTAAAATCAGCTCTTCCTGGAGTTGACTTAACTAACTTAACTAATTAATGGAAAATTTGGAAAATAATGGAAAATTTAAAATGAAATAAAATAAAATAATAAATTAATATTTCACCCAAACAAGGAAATAAATCACAACCTTCTAAAAGCGACTGTAAACTCAACTCTTCCTGGAGATGTAATGTAACTAATGTAATCTTTTAAAAACATTAAAATTTAGAAGCAAAAAATCGAAATGTTCTATGTTGTGTGTTTCAGGAAAGCACTCCATTTGCTGTGATTGGGAGCAACACGATAGTGGAGGTCAAAGGTCAGCGGGTGAGAGGGAGACTTTACCCATGGGGCATTGTGGAAGGTCAGTACGGATCTACGCTTGAATATCTACATTTTGCATGAGACACACTCTCTACTGATAAGAACAAATGCATCAAGAATAAGTTTTAATCAACCGAGTGCCAGCTAACCATAAATGTATACAAAGGTTTCACAAACAGATTTGTGCACATACTTTTTGTCACAGTGGAGAATCAGTCCCATTGTGATTTCGTCAAGCTGAGGAACATGTTGATTCGCTCACATATGCATGACCTGAAAGACATCACGTGTGACGTGCACTATGAAAACTACAGAGCGCAGTGCATACAGCAAATGACAAGGCAAGTCACAATGCTTTTCTCAAATATCTTAATAAATATCATAGAAAAAGATACTTTGCCATTGACTTTATCGCTTATAAGATGTTCTGTTTCCACCAGCAAACTGACCCAGGATAATCGCGTGGAGAGCCCCATCCCGATACTACCACTGTCCACCCCAGACGTAGAGACAGAAAAGCTGATAAAGATGAAAGATGAAGAGGTCAGACAGCTGTCCTGCTTAATCTAGTTATTTCAGTTCTTAGCTGTCACTTAATAAATGTGGCATTGAGCACAAAAATATATAGAAAATTGTGTTTTTGAGACATTTGCAATCCGGGCCTAAAACATTTTGCCACAAAATTGAGTGACTTGAGAAAATTTACTGGCCATTAATATTTTTTACAGACCATGAAACGGTAAGTGCATTATTTCATTAAAAATCAGGTAGAACAAATTGGTGAAATGCATCTAATTGCAATTCTCAATATTATTATAAATAATAATTTGATTTAATAATAATAATAATAATCATCATCATTTTATTTATTGTACTTTTTTTTATTAATTATTAATATTTGTATTATTAAACAAATTAATAAAGAAATATCACTATAATACTATTGAACTGTAAAGTATTTTATAATAATAATAATTTATATAAAAATACTAATTATTATTTTATATAACAACAGTACAATTAAAATACTAATATTTATGGTTGATTTCTTTCTTTGCTTTCAAATGTTAAACCATAAAGCTTTTATTTTGGTGTAAAACTGCAGGTAACTCTGTTGAAATGCTACTCTTTTTTTTGACAACAGATTTATAAACCATTCTCATTATAAACTTGGTAAGATATTTGGTGCTTGTTGCATTTTCAAGATGACTTATTTATATGATTACAACGCAGGTTTTGTGTTTTGATAATCACGCTAAACCATAATGCATTCTCGGGTTTCATTCTATCACCAATGCTGGGTTTTATTCGCCTTTGGTGCTTGGCGAGTGTTCATTTTAGGCCCTGTTTGCAACACTAAATGCTGAATCTGCTTAATATTATTCACTTTGTCTTTCAAAGTTGCGGAGGATGCAGGAGATGCTTCAAAAAATGCAGCAGCAGATGCACAAACAGGACCTGTGAACGCCGCCCTGAACGAAAACGGCTGATTTCAGCTTGTCTGCACTTTTACACAAGCAGCCACGTAACACTTTAACATCACACTGAAGGATATACAGTAGGGAAAGCAACAGATGTATTTGTATGTCAAACACAACACAGATATGAATGCATGTGTCGAGCACTGCGGTTAAAAGGGTCACTTCACCTGAGCCTGGTATCTAAAACCAGGCTTCAAGTTGAAATATTTAGTAATGCTAAAAGATTTAGTGATAGTTTGTTTTCACACTTTGTACAGTCCATGTGATGCTGTATGACTGTTTCCATGGCAAAGACTGCTGCTTTATTCACAGTAGACATGGCAAATGTTCTGTCGTACTATTGTTTTTTGTCTGCCGTTTTTATGATCCGTTTCTAGCCCAATTTTTTATTATTTTTAGTAATGTGTGTGTGCGAGTTTGTGTGCCTGTGCCGATTTGCTTAAAACAAGAGCACTAAGTGGAAAACTAAATATTTGAGTGATTTTCTACGTTTAAAGCAGCTATACCATCAAGTTATTACAAGGTTTAGAAGTATGAAAACATTTGCAGTATTAAAGCAAATACTTTAATAATTTTTCATTCTTCATTCATTTATTTGTCTCTGAAGGCCTTATCAGAGCACCTTGAATTGCAAACTTTGTTGTACGACTGCTGTAAGTTGAAGAGAATTTTCACTGATCCAACCTTTTGTCTACTTTATTGATTGAACATAAAAATGTAATTCTTTATAACAGTTTTATGTGATTCATGTTATAATATGCCACTTAGGACGACTGTTCCAGTCCTAAAACACCACATTATACATAATATTTCACAAAATGGATATCAGACAATCTTTATCAGTGAATAGGCTCTAACATCTTTTATATCACCTGTTGTTGATGGTTTTACATGGATGCATTGAGATATTGATTTGTATGCCCTGTATGTGTTTACTCAAGTTATGAGCATGACAAATGCACCATCTGCCATATATCATGATTCCTTTGAAAAATAAACACATCCTCTGTGGTAGAACCTGTCTGATCTGTACATCTTTTCATCATTGTTACATTTACATTTAGTCATCTAGCAGACGCTTTTATCCAAAGCAACTTACAAATGAGGACAATAGAAGCAATCAAAACTAACAAAAGAGCAACCATACGTAAGTGCAAATGACAAGTATTGGTTAGCCTATACGCAGTACACGTAGCAAGGTATTATATATATATATATACAGTATATACACACACACACAAAGAAAAACAAGTAGAATAGAAAAAAAACAAAGCTAGTGTTAGTTGTTAAATACTTTTTATGTTGCTCATGATATCATTTAACTTATTAATATCCAAATTAACTTTCAATTACAGTTTTATTTTGTTTAATTTTTTATTTGGTTCAGGTATTAAAATATAACTTTGACAGTCTAGATTTGAATCTTCCCAGTGATTCAAATCAATCGAAAGATTCGAACAATTCACTCGCCGATTCGTTGAAAACAACCAAGTCGACCAAAACAAGTGTATACAAATCTACTAATAAACTCCACAACAATTTGTACGCAACATGTGTGTTCTCCTCATAAATTACAACAAAGCACAACTAGCTTATCCTTATTTCTGAGTTTGTTTTTTTAAAAACACTGTTTTAACGCGGTTTTCTATATGGGAGGAAAACGCTTAACGCGTAATTAAACGTGTTGCATTCGTATTCTGGGCTCATCAGCTTGTCCGTACATAGTATGCTTTATTAATAATGCGTTTACTAAGTTTGGTCTTTTAAAAACACTGTCTTAACGCATTAAGCCACGTTAAGCGTTTTTCACGTTAAGCGTTTTATGTAAATAAAAGCTCGGTGGGCAGGAACACTGCATTGCGTGATCATAGATGACACATTTATTTAGTAAGCTATGAGTAACAGCAACTTTTTTGAAATACTGGGCGTGGATGAGGACCACAGACGGGGGAACTGTCTCGTTTTATAAAACCATGAAGGTCTGCAGATGTGCTGAGGAACAACTTGCCTCTCCATCACTCTAGCCTACTTCCGCATCAAACATGCTTTTAACCCTCAACATGTCCTGCTGAGCACAACACTGTAGTAAATGCTATATTTGCATCGTTTTGCATGTTTTAACATGCATTAACCTCACAGAAACCTCAGACTGGGACGCAGCAGCAGACTGCAGAGATCATATGGAAGGGAAACTAGACATGGATGATGTTTCTCCATCACATAATCAGCATCAGCGGGGCTCGTGGAAGTCCTTCCACGGCAGACCCAAACTCACTGGCAGTCCCAAACTGGGCAAAAAAGACAAAAAGCAAGAAAGTGGGTTTTGGATATTTAAAAAGAAACGACCAAATGGTTTGGACCGAGCGGTGTCTTCGTCTCAACCCAATCTGCACAGCGCGGCAGCCGCTTCGGATGGTGGTGAGAGCGGGAGGACGCGCTGCGGCATGCCGGAGCAGAGTGTCGGTACGGCGGCCGCAGCAGCAGCGTCGCTCGGTGCCGAGATCCAGATGCTGAAAAGAACCATCAGCTCCAAACCGACACTCTCCGAATTGGTGCAGTCTCAACATAAACCTGCTCTGCAAGGGTCCACATGCACTGATGATGCTGTGATGAATGGTAACGAGGAAGAGATCAATAAAAGTGTGGTAAGATGATTTATAATGTTCCAGATGTTTTTGCCATTGCATTGCAGTAATAAGTGATGCATGCAGATTTTATCTTATTCATTTGATCTTACGCTCTACATTCACACTTGCAGATGTTTTAAAACGTAAAGACATTTACTTAAAGAGATTGTTTTTGTTTTAAATACAGTGAACTATCCAAACAGGTTTTGATAAATTTGTATAACAACTGAGCGCCTATAGGGTTTTGTGATGCCACAGCTTCCTAAATTTAAATGCATTCAAATATTTAGCGTAATTTCTATTTGATAGTGATAGACTTTAACTTTTGTTAGGTAAGGTGAGTCATTACCAAAAGTGAAACTAAATTTAAGTATATAGAATATCTATTTGCTACAAAATATTACAATAAATACATTTTCTTATAAGAATCATGAATTACAGCCAGGTTCCTGCTGGAAAACCTGTGTCATATTAGTTTAAGGTGTTTTTTGTAACCTGGTATCTGATTTGTTATGGGCGAAACGTGATCAAGGTGCACCAAGTCAATCTCTCACATCACAAATGAACAGCATGGTTCAACTAGACACCATGTAAAGCCAGATTATAGGCTGAGATCCGTTAGATGTTGAAGCTTGATCACATCCACCAGTATGATGTCAGAGAAATGGAAACATTTCCAGAATGACTTAGATTGGGTTCAAAGGGCAATCGACCATTAAACTATTTTGCCTCATTTTACATGATGTCCCACTTTTGCTGAATCCACCCTAGCAACTGCTTTGAATACAATCAAACAAACCGAATGATTTTGACACTATAATATTTTTTACATTGCAAGTCCAAAACAGATGTCAATTCAGAACTCCAATTATCAGTGGACAGTCATCTTTTGTTGCATGTATGCATGTGAATATCTTTGCCCTTGTACATTTTCAACATTTAATATATGCACACCAAGGTTTACCTGAATCAGGTCTTTTTGTGCATGGTCATTTTGACATTTGTAGATGCAAAGTAATGTGTTTGCATAGTCAAACTCATGTCAGATTCTCATTCACACAAGGACATGTGCCAGAACGAGCTTGTGTCAGCCCCTTTTTCCACAAGATTTTCTTTTAAAACTGTAAAGTTTGGCCTTAAAACTTTTTTCTACATACTGTTATTTTTCGTCATGTTGGCACTGTACTGTTCTCTCAGAGCCTGAGGGTGTTTGCCGAGCTGGTTTGCAAGAAGAGGAACTTGTCTAAAAGCAATGACACATGAACACATTAGCAGGCTTGAAGCCAAACAGGGTGCCAAGTGTTGAGCAAGGTTATGCAAGTTTATCGGTTCTCTTCATTTGCAGAAGAGAATTATTGTCTTTATTAATACAGTTTATTTTATTGATTGTCGATGTGCATCAGATTTTTGAGATCCGTAAATACAGATTAAAAGATTTGATTAAGTTGAATATGCATGCATGTACAATCTCAGAAAACAAATTAGATCTTTCGTTGTTTTTTTTGCTAGTGTCAGTGGTGTGTTTTGCTTAAATGTAGGTTGTTACAAACCTGTATGTCTTTCTTTCTTCTGCACAACATTTTTGAAAAATGCAAGTGAAGTGTTTTTTTTATTATTTTACTATTATTAATTAAAGGCTTTAAGAAAAGTAAATAGTCAGTTACGGCGCGTGTTTCAGAATTAGAAGCATCACTGTGTTCATTTACACGCATGCAGCTATAATGCTGCTTCTCATAACCTTCATCTCTGCAAGCGCTGTGAGTTTAACGTGCATTTGGGAATGCATGTGCACTGGGTTCACTAACAAGTTTGGGAATCCTTGCCTTAGAAAAAAGAACGTCTGATGTGAAGATTTCAAATTAATTTTTAAAGTGCCCCTATTATACCATTTTTAAGGTTCCTAATATTGTTTTGGGACTCTCCTACATTAGGTTACATGCATGCAAGGTCAAAAAACGCTTTTGTTTTCTCAAAATATGCATTTAATATCACCTCATTTTCCAACGATTCTCAAATGATTCGTTTGAAGCAGTTCTGATTGGTCAGATGGCCCAGTCTGTTGTGATTGGTCTACCACGTACCGCACGTGTCGGAAACGAGACGCCCATTGCCATAGTTTTGTAATTTGAACAACTGATAGAAAACATCTATTATTTATCATACTTGCAGCCAGGTTGTGAGTAGAGCCAGCTGGTCCAAATAAACTGCGTACTGAGCCATCTTTCAAGAGCAAACGTTTTGTGAATCCCACGTTGAACTCCCCGCGATTAGAGAAGCAGTCGTCAGTAAAATGACAGGAATACAAAAAAGATTGGGGTTGTACTGCTGTGGTACAATGGAACATCTTTTTTTTTAACCACTGATTCTTTGCAGCCTCATCTTTCGGAAGTGAAAATAAAAATAGTTTACTTTCACAGCGTAGGACACAGCGTCTTCTCAACATGATGTTAACCACACAAACAAGCAGGGATGGGCAAAGATAATCCATCAATTGGCCTATTTGATCTATCTCTTCACCAATACACTGATGTTTGGGAACAAGTGAACAATGTTTGATAGCAAGTCAGCTTTTCTCTGCCCGAGTCATGCAATAAATCTGACATATGCAACCAGTTAACAGATCAAATATTTACATATCCCAGTGATTTCCCAGATGAAGGTTAGTTTTAAAGTAACCGAGGTGGACTGGCACAAAGTATTTTATGTATTTTGTAAATACAAAAATACTAATCTTAAATGTATTTAAATACAAATTACATTTGATTTTTGCCAAAGGCTTTCAAATACAAAATACAAAATAGTATCTGAAATATTGCCCATCCCTGCAAACAAGCTACAGCATTTGAGGGCGGGGTCAAGTTGTTTGCGGCCAGCCAGAGTAGAACATAGGCGGGCATTATGCAAATGTATTACCCTGTGATGTGTAGCCGTCACGGAAGTGGGAATACTGACGATTCATTTCGGCTGTTCAGAGTTGATTCTTTCTTTTGGGGGACAACTTTATTTATTGTGCTCTTTCAGCTTTACAACTTTGCAGATCGTTTACATTCACATACTCAATCACTGGACACCTATTTGGAAGTTGAAAACAAACATTTTAGCATTACAACAATTATTAAATGATCAATATCTTTTGATTTTAAATGTAGTCAGAAACGTAATCAGAAAGTAGCAACAACTTTCAGCTTTACAACTTTGCAGATCGTTTACATTCACATACAGCTACATTACACACTGCATGAAGGGCAATATTCGAAATGGCATAATAGGGGCACTTTAAATAATCATAATTCAAAACTCCATTATGGCTCCTGTCCTGAGCTATGACTGAGAAACCTTGAGCAATAACGTTTTTGGCTATAGCC